AAACAAATATTTTAATTAGTCCTAAATTTTTTCTACTGATCTGTTAAATCTTATTAGTAGAGAGTTTCTTTCTGTGTGGTCCTATTTTTGATTTTGATAGCGTTTTGGTGAACAACTATACCCTTTTATTAGTGTGACATGTATGATATAATACTTTAATATGATAGGTATTAATGTGACATTCCGACGATGTGACATTCTAAAAAAATTAAAAATTTCTTAATGTACTTTTTCTAAATGTAGCAACGTAGCGAATATGATGTGGCACTTCAAAATTGTTACTCAAAAAAAAAAAAAAACTCTTTAATGTACTTTTTTATAATGTGACAATGTGATGGGTATGATGTGACATTTCAAAAAAAAAATTCTTAGTGTACTTTTCACAAATGTGACAACGTGACGGGTATGATGTGACACTTTAAAAAAAATAAAAAATTCTTTAGTGTATTTTTTTCTAATGTGATAACGTAACGAGTATGATATAACACTCTAAAAAAAAATTAAAAACTTCTTAATGTATTTTTCCCAAACGTGACATGTGACACTCTGACTTGGTAGGTATGATGTGACACTCTAAAAAAATTAAAAACTCTTTAGTGTATTTTTTCTAAATGTAACACACTAACGTAACGGGTATGATATGATACTAAAAACTGTTTAGTGTATTTTTTTCAAATGTGACAGGCCAATGTGGCGGGCAAATGAGACATTATACATCCAAAATGACTAAATGGATCCCAAGAAAAAATATGGGACTATATAAATTATAAGTTTAAAATATAAGACTTATTAATCAATTTTCCAAAAATTTAACAGGATGTATCATGTTTAGTAAGTGCTAAAAAAAAATCATGGGTATGTTTGGTTTGTGTTTGAGAGATGTGTTTTAGAGATAAAAAGTACGAAAAGTTGTTTGGTTTGGTTTTTTTCAAAAGATGTTTTGGAAAATTATTTTGAGAGAGAGTTTTGGAAAAAGTGATTGATTTGATGTGTGTGAGAGAGAGATTTGTTTGGAAAACTTGTTTGGTTTACAAGTTTTGAGAAATTTTTTTGAGAAAATTTGTTTGGTTTGATTACTTTTAAAAACTTATTTGTAGAGAAAATTTCCCAAAATTTTTTCCGAAATGCAAACCAAACGAACCCTTTGTTTTTATTTTATTTTTTTTTTGGGTTGGGTTATATCACGTTTTTATCATATTATACATCTTTTTATAAAAAATTTAAAAAGTATACTTATTTAGATAATTCTAAATAACTCTTAAATTCATTAAAAAATAAAATAGGTTAAAAAATTAATAAAATAAAATGTCACATTTAAAGTAAAATCATTTCACATTTTTTCTTATAAAACTACAAAAAAATCAAAAGTTCATTCCAAATAAAACTTTTTTAATTAAGTTAAAATAGTCAAAAGAAAAATCAAAAAATTAAGCTCAAAAAACTCTTTCCAAATGAAGGCTTAAATTTCAAATTCGATACTTCTTAAGGTTAGTCAGTCAGGTTTTGACACAAATGGTTTGTAGGATGAGTTTTTTAAGCACCATCTAAGGTAACTTTTGTGATTTTAACTTTCTTAGAGTTGTAAGAGAAAAGAAAATAAAAGAAAAGAAATGATTGCGTTTTCTCTCCTTTTTATTTGGATAAGGAAGAAATAAAAGAAAAGAAATGATTGTAATTTCTCTTATTCTTGTTTGGTTAGATTTCATTAAGAGAAAAGCAAAGAAATTATTTTATGTTATATTACCAAAATAACCTTTTTATATTTTCAATCATTTTATTTCTTTTATTTTTATAGGGACAAAATTGGTATTATGAAAATAATGGTTTCTTTTCTCTCCCAATCTCTCCACTTTTGGGAAGATTGAAAATGAGGCTTATAAGAGAAATGAGTTTCTCTCTATTTCTCTCAATTTCTTCCCATTTCTCTCGACTTAGGTTATCCAAACAAGTAAGAGAAATACATTTCTCTCTATTTCTTTTCTTTTCTCTCCAAATCACTCAATCCAAACATAGTGTTAATCTGATACGAGCAGCTCCAACTGTTGCACTGTAGTGGGCTTTAAAACAATGGGGATATCCGATGGGTTGACCGGTCGATCAACCGGTTAGGCGTTCTCAAATTTTTTTGAACTTGTAAATTCTCTCTCACATCAAATTTGCACTTGTAAATTCTCTCACATCACTCTGCTTTCTCTAATCAAACCTTTTAGTTAGAGCTTTTTTTATTATCAATGGAGTCTCTGGTTTTGGCTCCTCTTCTTTGAGTAGTCTTCGAAAAATTAGCCTCCCCAATCCTCAGCATATTCCAATCCCACACTGAATTCAACAATGAGATGAAGAAGCTCCAAGACCGTTGGCTCACCATTCAAGCCGTCATCGAAAACGCCGAAGAGCGACAACTCAGAGACACCAAGGTCAAGCTCTGGCTCAAGAAGCTCAAAGACGTCACTTATGACGCTGACGACTTGCTCGACTCAATCACCGCTCAAGCTCTTCGAAACAACAACAACAACAAGAAGGTATGGAATTTCTCTGTCAAACCCATTTTCAATTGATTGAAGATGTCCCGAGATTTGAGGGATATTCGAGAGAGATTAGATAAGATTGCCAGAGACATGTCTGATTTTTCAATTGAGAGATGTTTTCATTCATAGATGAATCGATACAATTGGAGATAGATTAGAAACAGGGCCTTATGTTAATGAATCTGAGGTTTTTAGTAGAGAAGATGATGTTGAGACGATTGTTGAAATGCTATTATCATCATCATCAGTATCCTAATTGTGAAGCAGTTCGCAGGCCAACCAAACACTGAAGCACTGCACAACAGGTATGCAATTTTTTGTAAGCAAGGAACGACCTATGTCCGGCCGGTTGTCTGGTGGGGTCACTTCCAACGTAAACGCACAATATTTTAGTGAAATCTACTCCAACTTCTCAGTTTGGTGAAAGTTTTGATCCGTTCTCAATTTGATATCAGTTTGGTGAAACCATTTGAGAGAGAAAAGTTGTCATTTTTCATCAAATTTGAATCTGGTGCTCAATCTGATAAAACATTGGAGATGGTCTTAAGTCCTGTATGTATTTAAAGTAGGGTTGGATAGGATTACGAGTATGAGTATGATAAAAGTTGGTGAACGAATTATTTGTGTGGTGATATTAAGTTTAAAATAAAAAAAAAAATTATTTTTGTTTGATGACCATTGAATTAACAATTAATACATGGATGAGATTAAATATATGAAATTTCACAGATACTCTTGTTGCATAACTTCCTCATTGTAAAATGGCAAAATAGTATTTCTAATTACAACAATGCTACATCCACTGAATTTGGTGTCACCCGAATTTGTTCATGTCAGTCGGCAGGTTGACCGATTGGTCGTCCGGATGACAGGGTGACGACCACGGTAGACAAAGGTGAAGTCGGTCATCCAGCTAGCACAAATTCAAATGATTCGGATGATAGCAAATTGGATGGATAAATTATTTCACTTTAAATTTTAATATCAACTTACTAGTTCTGAATACCAAGTCGTAAAAGGCTTTGTTCATCCAACCGTGTGAGAACTATAAATCCAGAGTTCCATTTTTTTAAAAAACAAACATGATATTTGTAGTACTTACCTCTCACACACTACTAATCAAAATCCCTACTCTTATCTCCCAAAACAAGCATGTCCTTAGAGTCTAGCACCAAAAGTCACCCTTTTGTAATTAAATTTTTTATTTTATTTTTTTATAATGAAAATGTTAAAATGATGTATTGGTGTATGTTCATTGATAAAAAAATAATAATAATAAAAATAAGACTCAATTTTGTATGTAAAACGTCTGATTATTAATTTTAGACATTAAATAATGCATTTAATTTTTACTTTCTAATTACTAATTTTTTTTAAAAAAATTGTACCAAACATGTTAACAAAATTGTTGAGTAGACTCAACCCATGTTGTTGAGTGCAAAAATCCAAAGGATCACGAGACCTAATCACATGGTCACCACCACCTAACAAGTGATTGGCATGCCAGAAGGATTATTTTTTTTGGGGACTTCCATGCGTAAGTTTTAATAGATAAATTTATTATTTAATAGATTTTATGATAATTAATAATATTTTTATTAAATATTATTAAAAAATGTTATTAATTCTTAATTTTCAATGTTGATTTTAAAATTGTCACGAAAAATGTCATTAATTATAAGTTTTAGTGACAGTTTAAAAAAATTGTTATAAAAAAAGTTATTAATTTTTAACTTTCAACGATAATTTTAAAAATTCGTCATAAAAAAAGTTATTAATGGTAAGTTTTAACGATAATTTATAAAATCGTAACAAAAAAATATTAATTATAAATTTTTAACGATATATGTAAAAAAATCGTCATAAAAAATATTTTTAACTACGATTTTACCAGGATTTATTTTCAATAGGACCTTGTGAGAATTAAATCCAATTATTATGACCTATTGATAGTTTTTTTTTTTCCTTCTTAGGGTCCGTTTGGGAAGAGCTTTTCTAGACTTTTTTAGCTATTTTAGCTACAAAAGACAAAATAGGCTATTTTAGCCACAAAAAACAAAACATCATATCTAACCCATAATCATTACACTCTTCTCTTATAAAAAAAAGTTAAAAAAGTCAAAAAGTCAAAAAATCATTCCCAAACCAAACTTTTTAGCCCAGGCTAAAATAGTCAAAAAAGTTAAAAAGTCAAAAAGTCGATCCACTTTCCAAACGGAGGCTAAGTCTTATGTTTTATTTCATCTTTTTAAGATAATATTTACTAATAATTAAAAAGTTATTGATGTAATTAACCCTTATTTATAAGCTCGAGACACACATCTACAGTTGGATTCGGCCTAGGTTGATCAGATTTTTATGTCAAATAATGTATACGCGCATATTAAAAAAATAAAAAAATAAATAAAAAATAAAGAAAAAATGTTATATAAATTCACTTTTTAAATTCATTTTTTATATTTAAGTTTCACATGGTTTTAGATTTTTGGTTAAAAAAATATAAAAAGACAAAATTAACTACATAAGACAAAGAAAAATGTTATAGACCCCAAATAAATTATCAAATATTCTACCAAATATTTCACATGGCTGTGGGATCCACACACATGTGATTTGTGTGGGTTCCACACCCATGTGAGAGATTTGATAGACTATTTGGTAATTCATTTGGAGTCCCTAACATAACTCTAAAACAAAATGTCACATTCAAACCACAGTCCTGCTGGGACCCCCAGCAAGAGAAGACCCCAGCACCCCACCTCCACGTGGGGGGTTGTGACTTGTAGACAGAAAAAAATAAAAAATAAAATAAAAAATAAAAAAATTGAGCCAATCACAAAACAGTGGGAGTCCAACTCATTTTCCTTCAAACCATAATCATACACTTTTTCTCTCAAAAAAGTCAAAAACGAGGCTAAAAAAGTCTCAACAAAAAAAGTCAACTAAAAAAGTCAATGACAAACTAAGACTTAATGATATATAAGTGAGATAATTGATTGATAATTAAAAAATATAAGAGGGAGTTGTCTTAAATATTCTAATTGATTGTCACATCATTAAGTTTAAAAAATGACTCTAATTTTTTAATTTGAATGACAATACTCATAAAAAAAGGTCACCTTATTTGTAAAAAAATTAAAAAAAAAACAAACTAATAAATCTTATTTTACTCTCAAGTTCTATCACATTTTAATGTGAATAATTAAGTTTGTTTTTCATAATTTATTTCCAAAAAATTCAATTCTTCATAATGACATGTTTTATTTCAATTTTATTACCCTTCTTATTAATACAAGCATAACAATTGTATAAGTAATTTTAATTTACTTAAATATTATATTTTTAATTATAAAAATTAAACAAATTACATCAAACAAAAAATTGATCCAAAGAACTCAATTCATCATATTTTGTTGCCTCACACTATGAAAAATATATTAAGTAAACAATCTAAAAGGTCTAATTTTATTAACATTCAATTAAAAGAATTGTGAAAATAATATCGTGAAAAATCTACATATTTTTCAAATTATGAGACAACAAAAAAATGATGAATTCTTTTATTAATTAATTTTTTTTTTATAAAATTGTTATTCATATTTTAGTGTGAAGGGTAAACTTGGTATAAAACATATTATCATAAAGAATTGAATTTTTTTAGAATTAAGTTACAAAAAATAGAACCTAGTTGTTTATTTGAAATTTAGTTGTCTTGAGAGCAAAATAAATTTATTGATAATTTTCATAAAAACAAAAAACAAAATGGTCATCTCTGTCAGTTGCCTCAAATTGATGCTATTTTGATTTTGATCATATTATGGTTGGTGCGTCTAGACTAAAATTATTAGAATTTAGGTGGCTTTGAGTCAAATACAATACCATTCCTCAATTATTAATAAATATCATTTTACCTCTTTATTTATGAATTTGTGTATTTTGACTTTTTCAATTTTGAAAATCGTATAAATATACTACTTTTAAAGATGATTTGAAAAAGGTACATTTTTAATTTTTTATAATTAAAATAATCAAAATATACAGATTTATAAATAAAAATAAAACAATATTTATTAATAATTGAAAGACGAGCGACAAAATGTAATTAAGCATATTTTCAAAAGCATGGCTCCAAAAAAACCATTCATGAGATCCATGTAATAATGGGAGACTTTTCTACCATTCAAAGATGAGTATAAGATCAAGTGGCATGAGTCCATTTCTACGACAAGACAAAAAAGTTCGTTTCTGAAGAACTTTTTTAGTCTGAATATTTTACGTTTTGATTAATTTAGCATGATTAAATTAGTTTCGTTTAGAAATAATTTTTTGATTTTTTTGTAAGAGAAAAAAAATAAAATAATTATAATTTAGATGTAACATTTTATCTTATTAAATTTTTTTTATATGTTTTTTAGTCTCAACTTAAATATAACTCACATGCCAAATGGCAGCAAAGAAAACGATAGCATTTAGATCAAAGCGACTCATTGTAAGGATCCACATCGATTTTTAATCTTTGAAGTGAATGTATAAGCAATCAAAACATTTGTGGATTAAGATTTATAATACTATTAATATATTTCTAAAAGAAAAAAAATTTAGTTTCAAAATTTTATAATATGAAACTAAAGTTAATTAGACAGAAATCTTCAATTTTTAATGAAAAATAAGTAAAAATATTTTTTTGCTTTTACTTTTTTTTTCCTTTCATTTTTGGTAATTGTTGCCACAAAAGTGATAGCAAAAACACTTACCAAATCAAGAATATTAAAAGATATTTTGAAAAGTATTCAAAAAATAAAATATGTGAACCAAATTTATTCAGAATATTTCGACACTAGACTAAGTTAACCTTGAGATTGGGAACCTCTCTCTTCTCTACCAATTGAAACCTAAATCATACAAAAAAAAAAAAAAAAAAAAAAAAAAAACCCAAAATAGCACAGCCAAAAAACAAAATTATCCACAAGGTCCTCCAAGTAAGACATGTGATTGCAAATGTAGATTCACACACACACACACACGCACACACACACACACACACACAAAAACCCTCTAAAACCCAAATTTCGAGCAAAGAAACATATGAGGATCACATAATTTTTCTTTCGGTTTTATTTATGTATTATTATTCTGATTTTTAATCAAATGGGGGCAGTGAAGGTCTTAATTAATTTGGCCGGGCCAGGTTGTGAAAGTAAGTCAATAGGCTTTTTTTTTTGGCAAGTTTGGGTCCAATAAATAGCCAAAACTTTCATTTCTACGACAAGACAAAAAAGTTCGTTTCTGAAGAACTTTTTTAGTCTGAATATTTTACGTTTTGATTAATTTAGCATGATTAAATTAGTTTCGTTTAGAAAGAATTTTTTGATTTTTTTGTAAGAGAAAAAAAATAAAATAATTATAATTTAGATGTAACATTTTATCTTATTAAATTTTTTTTATATATTTTTTAGTCTCAACTTAAATATAACTCACATGCCAAATGGCAGCAAAGAAAACGATAGCATTTAGATCAAAGCGACTCATTGTAAGGATCCACATCGATTTTTAATCTTTGAAGTGAATGTATAAGCAATCAAAACATTTGTGGATTAAGATTTATAATACTATTAATATATTTCTAAAAGAAAAAAAAATTTAGTTTCAAAATTTTATAATATGAAACTAAAGTTAATTAGACAGAAATCTTCAATTTTTAATGAAAACTTGTAACCAAAATAAGTAAAAATATTTTTTTGCTTTTACTTTTTTTTTTTCCTTTCATTTTTGGCAATTGTTGCCACAAAAGTGATAGCAAAAACACTTACCAAATCAAGAATATTAAAAGATATTTTGAAAAGTATTCAAAAAATAAAATATGTGAACCAAATTTATTCAGAATATTTCGACACTAGGCTAAGTTAACCTTGAGATTGGGAACCTCTCTCTTCTCTACCAATTGAAACCTAAATCATACACACACAAAAAAAAAAAAACCCAAAATAGCACAGCCAAAAAAAAAAAAAAAAAAAAAAAAACCCAAAATAGCACAGCCAAAAAACAAAATTATCCACAAGGTCCTCCAAGTAAGACATGTGATTGCAAATGTAGATTCACACACACACACACAAAAACCCTCTAAAACCCAAATTTCGAGCAAAGAAACATATGAGGATCACATAATTTTTCTTTCGGTTTTATTTATGTATTATTATTCTGATTTTTAATCAAATGGTGGCAGTGAAGGTCTTAATTAATTTGGCCGGGCCAGGTTGTGAAAGTAAGTCAATAGGCTTTTTTTTTGGCAAGTTTGGGCCCAATAAATAGCCAAAACTTTAGTCCCAAACGTTATAAAAATAGGCTTGGCCTAGAGCTCATAGGCTGGCCCACGGGCTTATCCCAACCAAAATTTAAATACTATTTTTTTCACTTTTTTTTTTTTTTTTTTTTTTTTTTTTTTTTTTTTTCATAATTTTTTACAGGCTCACAAGCTGTTCCAACTAACTGTCTCTCACGAGCCTACAAGTCAAAATCACGACAAGACAATGAGAGTGCCGGATTGGGTTCGACAATGAGCCTTCAAACCAAATGGTGGGGGCTAGATAAATTTTTTGGGGAGTTACTTAAAATTATTTTTTATAATATTTTTAAAATTAATATTAAAAAATATTATTTTTAAAAATATTATCGCAAATGTCACATTGGCAACCATATTAGAGAGTAGGTGCATATGTGGCATTCTATGAAAAAGAGTAATACATATATATGTGGCATTTTTTGTTTTGAAAATTGGTTAAATTAGTTTGAATGACTAGCTAAAATAAAGAGTATGGTTGAAACACACAATAGCTAAACTAATTAGGTAAAATAAAAAGTGTCATTTTTTTTTATACTTTAGCTAGTGAAAAATAAAGAGTGTGGTTGGAGATGCTCTAAAGCATCTTTATCAAAGTAGCTAAATGTTTAGTCAAATTATAGCTAAAAACCTACTTTTCTATTTTAGCTAACCTTATTTTTCTTGCCATGCTCCAACAAACTCTCCATTTCTTTCTCCATTCAATTTAAATATTCCTTATTTATTATTTATTTATTTTTTCAAAAAAATTATATTTTTCAAATGGACACTTAACGGTCATATTTTTAAATTGAAACTTTTGTAATAACGGTCATATTTTCAAATAGGTACTTTTGCAACGGCTATATTTTTTAAATAGAAACTTCTATAACGGTCATATTTTCAAATGAATATTTTTGCAACGGTTATATTTTTGAAATAGATACTTTTCTAACGGTCATATTTTTTCAATATAAATAAGATCATTCATCTTTAATTTTCATCCACCTCATTTTTTGGCTATTTTAGCCTGGGCTTAAAGTTTGGGAAGTGGGTTGGCTTTTTGGCTTTTTGGCTTTTTTGGCTATTTTAGCCTGGGCTTAAAAGCTTGGTTTGGGAATGGCTTTTTGACTTTTTGGCTTTTTGGCTTTTTTGAGTTTTTTTGTGAGAGAAGAATGTAATGATTATGGGTTGGATGTGATGTTTTGTTTGTTATGGCTAAAATAGCCTATTTTATTTTTTGTGGCTAAAATAGCCAAAAAAGCCCAAACCATGGCTTCCCAAACGAAGCCTAAGAAATTAATAAAAACACATTCAATTATAAATTTATCACTTAATGATAAAAAAAAATTACGAACTAAAATTTTTATTTGCTCACTGTTACTCATGTTCACTTATAAAAATCCATTCTCATTCCTCACACGCACAAAAGAAAGAAAGAAAAAAAAAAAGTGAGCAAGAGAGAGAGATTGATAAATTTATCACTGAAAAAAATTTGAATTTGAATCTGAATCGAATTTGCAATAGATCTAGAGAGAGAGAGAGAGAAAAATGGGTGAGATCTGAAAAATCACCACTGTTTAGAGTCGATTTCTTCACTTAAAACGATTAGATCGGTATAGATCGACGATGGTAAAAGTGGATCGGTGATGGTAAAGTGTAAATTGATGACGACGAAGTGTAGATTTGCAATGGTGTAGTGTAGATCTGCAAAGGTGAAGGTGGAAATGAGACCATGGTGGTAGATCTAAGATGTTGGCGACGGTGTATACATCGGTGATGGTGATAATTGATGAATAGTGGCTGCAGCCAAACGACAACGATGGTGGTAGACGGTAACGGAAATGGTGACAGTAGATCACGACGGTGGTAGTAGCGATAGACAACAACAGTGACAGTGTCGGTAGACAGCGGCAGTGACGGTAGGCAGTGGTTGTGTGAAATTTTTGGAAAAATGAAGGAAAGAGAGAGAGAGAGAAAAGACAGAGAGAGAAATGGTAGAGAGAGAAGAGTTTTCTCAGAGAGAGAGAGACCGCACAAAGAGAAAGAAAGAGAACAAAATATTATTTAGGGCGACATAAAACACTCAAGGGTAAAAAAGAAAAAAAAAAACATATGGAATAGGATTTATATGTGCGTAAGACTTTAAGTCATGACCTAATGGGTAATAAGTCCCCCAAAAGTAGGACCGACTGGTAATAAGCCCTTTTTTTGGGCATGCATATGCTGATATGCCTAATTTGCTACTAAAGACAGGTCTGGCTGAGTTATAGTAAGGTGTTGTAGAGCTCCTACCAAACCTCTATACAATTGAGGTTGAGCAAATGTAATAGATGAATCAGGGGTAAGATTGGGTTTTACTGAGATGAGAGTATTGCAGGGCTTACAAAAAAGTCATTCATGCATTGATGAGTATGTCACACGCATACTTTTGTTGTGACAAGAAGAAAGCATTACCCACAGATTTGATTGAAATTCCCCCAAAATAAAAAATGTCACCCAATTCCTTCATTGCAAAAGTTGAATGCATTTTCTAAATAAGTGCTTGAATATGAGTTGAACTGTTACCTACTAAGAGAATATCTTCCACATACACAAGAAGAATGATAATAGCTTCAGAAATGAATAAAGGATTGTCACATTGACTAAGCCTTGAGACAATAGAAACTTGGTAAAAATTGAATACCAAGCTTGAGGTGAAGTGCTTTCTTCGATTTGTAGACATGATGATGGTGAGAAAAGTTAAAAAAATCTATGTGATTGTTGCAGGTAAACCTTCTCATCCAATGTGTCATGTAAAAAGAATAATGTTATATATACTAGTTAGTGTACTAACTAGTATACCAATTGATGATGTGACATAATTTAAGAGATTTTTGAGATTTGTAATGTGTTTAATAAGTGGGGTCAATAATAATGTTATAACTAGTATTGGTACACTAGTTAGTACACTAATTGATGTATGTAACACGACCGATGTAAAAAAAACATTGCTTATGTCAAGTAACCTTAATGTGGATGATAATGCAAAGCAATGTAGTATTACCATATATTCTTTTTTAAGAATATTAGAAATTCAAAAAATTCTATCAAAAGTTTTATCAAATGTCTCACATGGATGTGAGATTCATATGGAACATACACTCATGTGAAACATTTGATAAAAATTTTAATAGAATTTTTTGAATCTTTAACATTACTCATTTTGTTTTTTCTTTATAAAATTAGAGCATTAAAGGGGTTTTGCGAACTGCATAATCAGAGAACCGTAGGTAATCAACATTCTCACAACGGCTAGTTTCGTTAGAGCGTCAATATACAAGCCGCTTAAAAATACGTTTAAACGGTCACTTTACCGTTTTTGAACCCTAAATACGAATCCCACTTTATAAAACCCTAAACCCTCTTCACATCCAACATCTCTCTCTCTCTCTCTCAAATCTTTGGTTCAAATCCACCGGCGTATAAACTTCTCCGTTGACCCATTTCGATTTTCAGGCAATCTTTTTTATCTAACAACTCCAATGGAAACCCCATCATTAACAAGAAGAGTTACAAGATCACAAACCATGGCTGATGAAAACACCAACAACAACATACCCATATCAAGTAAGTGTGATTCACACTTTGCTATCTGCATCAAACATTGATATATTGCTTCAATTGACAATCTTTGATTGATTTTTCCAGGAAAGATTGAAGATTCTGAAAAGGGTGTTTCAAAATCAAGACAGAGAACTGGGAAGCAACAAGAAAAGTCTGTGCTTATTGATATCACTAATGATTCACCGATTGTTGGGCTTGCAATGGGAAGTTTGAAGACTCCATCATCGTCTTCAACTCTGTCCAAGAAGAGGATCAACAATAGCCAAGCCAAGAACAACAAGATTACTGGTACTCCTGGTTCAGGGGAGGCCTTGTTGAGGGGACAAGTCAAGACCCTCTTGCAGAAAGTGGAAGAAGAGGCCGAGCTTTCGAAACTTTCATTGGAACACAGGTCTTTCCTTCATCTCCAAGGCTTCATCAACTCTCCAGCGGGGCTTCTTGCCCCTACTCCGGCCAACACACCCCAAATTCTGAGCCTCTCAGGGAAGGAAAGCTTCAAAAACAGTTGCTTGGCTTCCGTTTTGCCTTCGCTGGTTCAAGAACAGTTCATGATTTCTCAGGTTTGATTGATCTTTTTTCCGTGTAATGCATAGTTTTCAATTAACTCTTTGTTTGCTAAGTTTATACATTAACTTCAAGATTTTCAAGATCGTTTTCTCTTGAAATCTACAATTAATGTGGTTTTATTATATTGATTGATGATTGATTTCCTGTTGTAATATGACAGATGGTTGTTGAGAGTCCTGAATCTGAAAAGAGCTTGATAACAAGGTCTTTACTCATGGACTTCTCCGAGAAATCAGAAGGTTCTGATTCATCTGAGCGTTCTTCTGTTCTGACAAATGAAGGAGGAATTCCAGAGAGTGATGGCAAGGAGAAGACATCTATGGAGGATGACGACGTTTCTGTGTGGTCCATTCAGGTGAATGCAAGTACCAAAGATGATTATGAAGAAGAAGACGGCATTGAAGAAGACGATGAGAATGGTGATTATGAAGGAGAGGAGGAGGAGGAAGCGGATGATGATGGAGGGTTGGTTGATGCACTATGTGAAGGGATAAGGAAGATTAATGTGAATCGAGAGAAGACAATGCCCAAATTTAGTGGGAGGCACACCCGATTTGTGTACAACAGTAATGATGAGCTTGAAGGAGAAGAAGAATGTTGTGGTGAGGAGGGCGAAGTATGTCTTTCGCCGGGCATTTTGCAGTTGAAGGGCTTGCCAACACCAAAAGGGAAGCACTTGCGATTCCATGAGGAGTTGGAAGATGAAGATAACTGAGTTTCTTGATATACAAAATGTTGGTTTCGTGGCTTTGATCTTTATTTTTGTTTGTTTTTGATATGTTTTTTACCAATTCTTATGTCAATTGGGGATATTGGAAAGAAGCTTACTAGCTCGGTTTCTGATTGTTGTTTCAAAAGATCCAATAGGTGTATATATATTGGATCGTCTGAGGCAATTATGGATTATGGGAGGCAATTCTAATTGGTCATTCTTTTTTAAACCAATCAATGATTGGTTTGGATTTGTATCAGCCGTTCAACAAAGATAACTAGACTGGATTACTTATTATGCTTGGATTGCCTATCATGTAAATAAATCTTTTGGATAACATGTTCTTTTTTTTTCTTCTGTACCATGAAACTCCTGAAGTTCGGTGTGTGGGAACTTTTTCGCTGAGAACTGTTGTCAAAAGATTGGAGAAACTACATAGAAACTTTCTTGTTGGGATATGTTGATAATAAGAAAAAAATTCACCCCTCAGTAAAGGTGAGTAAACTTACAAGCAAATAATAAATTGGAGGTTTGGTAGTTGTTTCTTTGAAGCTGAAAAATATATGGCTTTATTATGAAAGGGTGATTTTAAAAGCTATTTGGAAGGAGCAGAGGGTTTATATGAGGGAAATGTTGAATCATAGAATCTAGGAGAAAGTCAAAGTCTGTGTGAGAGAGAAGGAAAAATTGGATGAATTGTTGGAGGTGCTTGAGCATGTTCCCCCTTTCTTTTTTAAAAATTTTGACAAAAACGTTTTATATCAAAACAAATGGAGCCTTAATGTTTAATGATTTTCTGCATTGCATTGAATCTTGTTTTCATTTCTTTTATTTCTTAAGGGACTGTTTTTTGTGGTTGGTAGTACCTCTCCAACTTGGTTGTCCGTTGCTACTATCCCATCTGTCCTCGTAAATTTCTTCGTTTGCAAGTCCCCAAAAATAATAATAATTTTCAGAAACCGGTTTTGGATATTGAATTACAAAAAAGAACTTCTTGTAGAGAGAATATAAGGAATGAGAATTCCAGAGCAGAGTTATCGTGAGTTCGAGAAGAAAATATTTGTACACAGAATCTAAAAGTGAAAATGAGAATACAAGTGTAAAGATTCACAAATTTCTTTTCGTCTTTTTCTCTCCACAAAATTCAAGATCTAAACAAAACAGATCCAAACCTTTTGAATTGTCGTAGATTTAAAGGATTGTGATCGTTCAATAATTCTTTCATATCAGCATGACACCACCAAACAAATCCAGCAACTGATTTTAAATTATGAGGGGACAAATATCAGTACACAACGAACCAAAGCCTCAAATTACTTGACACAATTTCATTATCACAATTGTAATAACATGTGAATCCACCGAAAGGACAACTCATTCCATCATTGTCAGTCAAAATTATAACTCAAGACGCAAAACAGATGTCAATTATCGATTATTTTACAGAATTAGAATAGAGCAACATTTACATCATATTTACAAATTGCTGATGACTTGACTGACAAGACCAGTAATGAAGTTTTAGAACCAGGGATGCCATGTAGGATCCATCATGCAAAGGTTCCTCGGGTTCAAAGCAGCTTCAACCAACTCCGTCACGCCTCTCTGCACAGGCTGTGGTGGATCCACAGCATTCTCATCCTGAATATAGTAGTTGAAAAACAAAAACATCAAATTCAGGTCATATCTATAAATGCTTTCATTCCAGTATAGTAGTGCATACAAGAAATTTTCACTAGGACAAATAAATAAATAATGGGTACAATATATCACATCAAACAGAAGAAACCAGATAGGGGTTTTTGGGAATTGGTTTTTTTAGTGATTTTATAATTCTGAGGTCGGGAAAGAGAGTAAGCAGAGGGCGGGACGAAGGAGCCATTTTTCTGGGCAACAGAGTGTTACAGAATATCTCTCACAACAGAGTGTTACAGACTATCTCTCTCAGCAATCTCAGCAAAACGACCTCTCTTTCTCAGCAAAACGAAGAATTTTCAGAGGTTTCTCTCCGTTTTTCTGTCTCCATTTCTGCCTCCTCCGCTTCGGTTTATAAAGACCATGACACAGAGGCAGCCACGCGCATCGCGTGCCTTTTGACGCCGACAACCTGACACGCCTTTTCATGGCACGCCTTTTTATAGATTGGGCACGCCTTTTGATGGCACGCCTTTTTATGGATTGGGCACACCTTTTGAGGGTGCGACTTTTTAAGGGTCCGACAAGACTTTGTAAACTGTCCCGACATTGATTCCGGTTAGTTTCTACAAGGGTCCAGCAAGACTCCGTAAACTGTCACAACAACTGTCACAACATTGTCTACTACAACGGTCCGACATGACCCCATAAACTGTCTTCTACATCGGTCTGACACCGCCATCCAGTGTCCTCTACACCGTTATGACACCACCATACAGTGTCCTCTACAACGTTATGACACCCTCATACAGTGTCCTCTACAACGTTATGACACCACCATCCAGTGTCTTCACCAATGGTCTGACACGACCATACAGTGTCTCCTATCCTCTTTTATTTTTATGTATTTTCTTGTTTTGTTCCTCTCTTCAAACTCAAGTTGGTTAGTTTCTATCCTCCTTGAGTTTGCGGGGGGCTGTTAGAATTTACCATACCCCACTCCACCTACCACATCCACTAACACTCACTCCACCTACCACCTCCACTACCCCTTCACCTACTACCTTCTTCTCTTCTATATATGAATCATTGTAAACAGAATACATAACAATCAATCAATCAATAATACATTAATTGTTTACAATTTTGAATGTGGATGCCACCATAACTGTGTTTAATCCCAGCCATCCATTACATTTTGTGTACTTTCATGCACCAACAGTTGGAATTGTACGTTGGTACACAAAAGCACAGAAAGCAGGCATACAAGTTATATTCAAAATTAAGATGTGGCTAAAACGTGGTATCAAAAGCAAAGTTGATGAACTAACCTCTTCAGAGACATATTGTGGTGCTATTCCATTGATCCGACTAATAACATGCTCGACATTTGTGGTGACCTTCTGTTTAAAGTCAACAGGATTCATACTACCCCCTCCAACAACAGGGGCCAAGGGCATTCCAAGAGGTCTTCTCCATGACCAAGACAATAGCTCATCACGGAAAAACATAGCTAAATGATGCCATAAATGTTGACTTTGCTGCATTTTATGAAATTTTGAGAAAAGGTCATTGGTCAGCATGAGAGGAAAAAAAAAACTTCAAGTGACACCAACAATTCGCATAATTAAAAAAACTCACTTTAGGTGAAACCACAGCCTGTGCTGCAGCACACATGGCAGAAACAATAAGGCCTTCCACCCCAAAATGTGAGAAGAATGCCTGCAAATTCCTTGTCAAGCGGAAAGGCACTGGTTCGTTGAACTCAATCATTCCATTTGCATCATATGCTGGGTGAAAATCAGTCTGGAATATTTTCCCCGTGTTCTTAGCAAACAATATCTTGTTTGGGGACCTTCCACCAATCTGTAGCATGAATGACATGAAACTAGAAAGGGCCAACTGAATGGCAAATTGCTTCTTGAAAGCCCACATGTGGTTTCCACTCGGAAGAGTCTTGTACATGTACTGGGACAAAATGCTGTCGGTCACATAATTTTTTGTTATGTCGTTATAAGCTTGGAGGCGGAGATCTACCACAGCTTCCGGAGAGATCTGGCCAGAAATTGCTTGGTTCAGCTGCTCCTTGAAATAGGTAATGGGTTGGTCTGCCTCTCGATCATTCCTAGCACAATGGTTCTCATACACCTCAAGGAAAGTACTATACATCAAATCATCTTCTACCATGCGTACCTAGAACAAGTAAGCATTAATCATTAGAATAAATGCCCAATTATCAAGATAAAACTCCAATTAATTGATCCAACCTACAAAATCTACAGAGCATGTATATAGAAGAAAAGACTATGGTTTGTAGTGAGATCCATTGTTGGCATGTCCAGAAGTCAGCACAAATCCGATGCCATCTATTGCATTTTCATCCATCAACCAAGAGGAAAAAAATAAAATAACATAGTAAAACAGAGAAGGCTGAACTTATCACCTGGGACCAAACAGGGATGATAATTGGTGTGTGAATGCTTATGTGGCGGCGTCTCGATTCCTTGTGCTTATCAAACATTCGGGTTCAGCACGCGGAAAAGCTGCAGTATGCGTTCATCACTTCTGGCATTTGGGGTCAAAGATGTCTGAACAATAAAATGGCGCTGTGAGCCATCAGAGCCAATTAGAGTCAAGCGCCTGAAACTGCTTCCATGCCTTCGCACAATTGGAATATCAGCTCCGACCCTATCTAACTTTACTGTATGATCGGGTGCAACTTCCTGAAAAGATAGATCATATTATCTACAAAATCAGCACGGAAGAATTCCAACTAAAGAAAAAGGAAATATGTTTCAAGAAAAAGAAATAAAACAAAGAACCATTGAAGCAAGAATATCAAGAAGAAGCAGCACACAACAGTTTAATTCCAAAGTTAACAAATACTTTTCAATGGCAGACTTGTTTTCTCATTATTTGCAAGTTCAAATTGAGATTATCATTTTTACTGGCCAAGGTTATTACACTTGCTATTAGACTAACAAATCTTGCAACTCAATTCATCCTACGACACAAGGCAATGAAATTCAAGTTTGAGCAAGTCATTATGACTAAAAGCTGACTCAGCTTACCTGATCACTAAAATACTGTCCTGGAACCTCCACATCAACAACATGGAAATCACGCAACACCCTGCTTTCCTCTTCCAGCTTCAAGACAGCAGGAAACCTATCCTCAACATTGCTCTGGAGAATATTCTTCCAATGCTTCAATCGCTCAGTCAGTTCGGAGAGAGTGGCAGGGAATGTAGCTGTGCTTTCTGGATCAAGGTCACGCTCAAATTCTTGCTTGTACTCTCGCACAAATTCAACATGCTTGTTCACAGCATCTGCTGAAAAGCAAGCCCGGCAAACACCAGAAAGTTCCTTCTTGAGAGACTGAGGAACTTCTGCAGTAGTTGCAGTTGGGTACTTATAACAGCGGTGAAGCAAAGCATTAACCACTGCCAGCAGTCTCTCCTCTGGGAGGGTAACAAACCTTGAACCAATTTCTGTGAGCAGAATCTGTAAAAATGAATTGTTCTTTAGAAGCCAACCAGTTGATATAGTTTCATGTGTCAAAAACAATACTCACAAATAGAAAAACTATTTTCCCAGAACTTATTCATCTTATTAAACCAGTATGTTGGGAAAGCACACAAACAGGAGGTCAGTAGAAAAAGCAATTAAAAAAGAATACTTGGTTCATTTTTTATTAATCTTAATGTCAGTTTTATAAGTTTGATTT